CATAAACCGTTGCACCGCGTTAAGGTTCAATCACTTTGAGCGGGTTTTATCAAGTCTGTCACAAATCTTAACTTATGTCACTTCAAAAATGACTGAACAAGACTCCCAATCAGCTTTCCATCGTACATTCGCTCCATCTTAACGCGTTTGGAAAACATAAAGAGCAAACACAAGGAGAACCGTACTTGTTTATTGATTCCGTATTAATTCTATACAGACAGTGGAAACGAATCAATTAGCCTGTTTTAGCTCACCACGTTCTAGCGGAATCCGTTGGACTTTGAGCTTTACGTAGTCACAGAATTGAAGTACCTGCCAGCAAATAATCAAGAAACACGTTCAGTGGGATAAACAGGATACCTGAAGAAAATAACCACAGTTGACGTCGTTTGGGTCAGGTGTGTGTTTTTCAGTTGTACGGGGTGTAACCAAAAATAATTTTCATTTCGTAAGGGGCATTGGCAGAAACTGTTTATGTCGCTTGGTCTTCAGCCGAGATTTATCGCAGATCAATTTAAAGCTAACAGTCAGATGTTCACATGAAAATCTTGCTAGCTTAAACATGTAAATTTTGAGGCGTCTGCAAACTGAGCATCGTTCTTCATTGAGCAAGTGTAGGACATCGAAGAATGTAATAAAACTCATCCATACTTTTTGTATATCAACGTGCATTTTAAGGTGACACAGGTGGATCAAGTTATCAGTTCAGCTTTGTTGCTATCAGCCTGAGAGTCACTGTTACACTGTACCGAGAGAAGAGAGAGGGAAAACTTAAAGTATGTGAGCTTAATTGGAGGTCATTTTTCCCCCGATTTCACGCTTGGGAGTGAGGCGTCAGCTGCACGTAAATTGGTCTCTGACATGAATGAATTACACCCAAATCTCTTATCCCAACAGAGCAACCACTTTTGACAGGGTCAGTCAAATTCCTATTGGGGCCCTCAAAGAAGAGTTCCTGCGGAAAATTCTGGGGTGAAATTGCGTAAAATTACGTAAAATACTCTGATCCATGAAAAAGTGGCAGTAAACTTGGTCTCCGGTGAAGCCAACCGATAGAATAAGCCACTTTAAGGTCGGCGACTTCAATAGCTGGTACAGAGTACAGTGCAGTTTTCCTAATATGATTGTGCTCTCTTCATCCGAAATGCCGTGTAGCCAGTATTGAATTATCTTGTATTTTGCTAGGCAAGTTACTAGCCTCACTTAATGGGTGTTAATTATGTCTCGTTTATATTACATATTCAGAAAACTTATTAATTATTCCAGCCCTTCTAGAAAGAAGGACGTCGAGGGGAGAAGCTCCTTGGAATGCTCAAGATCGTCTTTCTTCTAAGAAACGGCTTAGAATGAAGCACTTGTAAGCAAAAATGTTTGTATGACCTCTCTAAAGGATAAGCTCTTTTTCAGAGGGCTCCCCTTGATAGAATTGTAATAGTATGCAGCTGAGTGACAGAACGCTGCTTAAATTGAATCCACAAACCACTTATATCATTGCTTGATTAAAATTCAGTAGGCATTTTATTTACTAGGTCCCGAAAACTGAAAAGCTGCGTGAATGATGTCTCCATTCGACGTCAATTAGCCAGTAATTCGACGAGAGCAACGCCCTATGGATAATGTCACCTCTTATAGGCAACACATAGTGTGATCTGTTTGCGTCTGTTCGGTCGTTGAATTGCTTGTCCAAGAATGTATTAAAGAGTGCCTTTTGAACTTACTTGACAGGCTGACCTTGGCTGTATAAGATCCCCAAATGATTTGAGCGCAAGATCCATATGTTCCTGTACGATTTCTCCGCACTAGGTCAAGGGAAGGATAAATCTGACATATTTTTTGCAGACTATTGTAAACTATAGTAAAACTAACTAGAGTTGAAAGTTACTGTAAAACGCAACACTAGGAATGAGCGACTTTCCAGTGAAATCCACAATGACTGTTTGTGCATCGCAGAATATTCTGTCCATCTATCAATGGGCTGAATCCTTTAGAACTTCGCCTGGTTGCTTTCATAATCCATATCTAATGAAACATTATGGTTACTCTGTAAACAAATGCCATGCTATGACCAAAATCAGGGTACATTTTGCTTTGACGCGACTGCATCTTCAAAGCCTGTGCATTTCACTGGTTATTTCGACCATCCAAAACTTGCAGTAGATTTCCGTGCGCTTGTACACATGCACGCTCGTGTTTGGCGTAAATATCGTCGCATCGAAAGCTGTCTACCAACCTTCCCCTCGGGCTTGTTGTTAGGTGACAGGCAGGTGCAAATCAAGAGCTCGATTTTGATGCGGCTCAGACACAGTAACACACCGGTGTGTTTCAGTCTGCCGATCGGAAATTCCCTGTGTGCATATTTCTCTTGGTGTTGTAAAACAAACCACAGAAGATGGAATCCCAACTTTATAGCCGGTAAAGGAGCGCATACGCAGCTGACGAAACAAATCAAAACAGACTATCCTTGGCCGGAGGCTTTCGATGGTCCAGTGGCCAAAGAGGACTGACAGCTGCCCGTACTGCAGTGAAATGAGAACAAACTTCCACTGAACGTGTAAATGCTCTGAACCGGATTAATAAAACAACTCTGGTCATTGAAGTACCCGGAGAGTAAGAGCAAAGCGTAATAAAGTAATCCAATCCCTTTATGGAAAACATAGCAAGCAGAGCATTTCACTCTTCTCTAGATTAACTCAAATGGGGTCTCAAAAATTCGTAGGATAATTAGGTATTGTTTATGGAAGTAGTCAAGTCCTAGTTTTTTTTACCTCATTTTGACAGATTACTGATTCCTTTTACTAAATTACAAGAGCATTCAAAATGTAATCTACTGAATGGAATAAAATATGGTGAGTATCGCTATAGTATGATTTTTAACGTACGTCTTCAGCCAATGCCTATGAATCGGAGAAAGAAAGAATCAACAGCAACAGTTCAGTCCTACTGACTACCCAAGACGCCCATCACTGCTATGTTGATTTTGCTTTTTGTGTGTACGTGATTCAAGGAATGGTCAAATCATATCCAAGCTGATAATACTATACGGTCGACAGAATATTAATGAGAAATTTCGAAAATAGGATAACGATTGACCCATAAAATTAAGATAAAATCAATGAATCCAGTTCAACTGGAAATCGCTGCATGACGAAGTAAGATTTTCCATTTCTTGTCGGGGACCACCGATAATCAGCTATGACCTATCTTCATGTGTCAGTTATGATTCAGCCAGTTTAATATCGATCAGATCAAGGTAGCTATGTGCAGTACGCCCGGCGAAATCATTACTTAAAAACTCATCGCAGCATGCATTCCAATGTACATCTTGTACAGCAATCAATGATCATCTGACAGACATACGAAATTAGCTTGGTAGTGCCGCTTTCCTGTCGATTTTTATCGATAAACTGACTCCACATTTTCTCGGCACCGCAACATGTTTTTTTTTATTCTGTGCATCTTCTTTCAAGTACAACAAGTTGTAAGTTGCATTTTATCGAAACATGGTTTTGTTTAGTTCAGAACATACTTTCATTCGGCCTGGAATGAACCAGTATATTTGCTAGTAGTTGAATTTATGAGGCAGGGATCTCGCCACCACCTATCTAGACCAAAGGTTTCGATGAAGCCATTGATGTGTGCAAGCAGTGCCCCAGAACACAGTTAAAAGAGTTTTCCCGAAATAGCCAGGCACCTCTGTTGCTGTCCCCGTAAAAAAGTGTGACCAACTTGATTATAGATTTCTCGTTCACTGCCCTCTCATTTAGATTCCTCCGTCATAAAAATGACTATGTTTGGTTGTCTGAAACCTAAACAAACAGTCTATTCCAATACCATGATAATTCCCAGTAAGTCTTGTCGACTGTTTTTATGGCAGTGTTATGCAAAACAAATCTTAGTTGAGTTATTGAACACAATAATCACAGTGTGTGCAGCTGAATCAGAAAAATTCATGTAACTACTTTTCACCAACCTCTTCCGTGATTTTTGCTGGTAGGAGATGACATATTTGCTGTGCAATATTGACCAAGTATTCTCGAATTTCCCGATCTTCCAGTCTACTTTTGATGAAGGTGAGTACACCCATGCAAACCAAACAAGCTGTAATAAACAAACGAATAACAAGAAATTGTCATTTGCATATGTCGTACGGGATTCTTGCACGGATTTTTAGTGTCTTGGCACTGTCCATCGTAAGCGGTATATCGAATAGTCTCAGTGAATTATACTAAGAAAACTATCAACCGGGTCAGCCTATAACTGTGCCATGAGCGGTCTACTGTAATAATCTACGGTCAAAAAAGATTAGTCGACGGCAGAGTTTGCTCCTATGAATTTATTGCCCGTGGTGTGAGGAGATTAAAAAAATTTTAATAGGGTTTTCATCCTGTAAGCAAAGCCAATCTATTCTGAAAAGTTGAGAAGCACTGTGCGTCTGTTTTGTACTTAGTGGAAATAACCACAAGTGCAAAGCGCCCGAAAATCCAGCGACTTTCGGTCTCTTGGATAGCAGTTTGATCAGCGGTAACTGTTAGCCCATCGGCGGCTAATCAGCAATTCAAACACAATATGGCGCCGCTCAGGCTTCACTCACGGAATCCACATCACGTGTTGACTGGCCCCACGAGTGACGAGTATGAAAAATCCGTTCGTGTTGTGAATTATTCTTCCTTCTGAGCTACTCATGGTTTGCTAGTAGTGTGAGGAGGCTTGAAAATTTCAATCGATTCAGCGAACTTAGTGGATATAGTGACTCCGACTTCTAAGTGGACCGACTTTACCATTGCTCTGGGGTCCCCAGTTCGCATTTCGAACACATCCCTGGTCTCCAACTTTCGAGTTGTTCTGTCCAACCTGGAAATTTCTGATCGGCATCTTAGTGCGTCGATAATGTGAAGGCTGCGATGTGGCGTTGCATAATTGCAAGTACTTTAACGCCAAGTCAGTAGGGTCTCCATGATAATAGATGGGTTTGACAGCCATGTGGGGAAACACATATAAATTCAGTTGTCCGTAAATGCTCGACAAAAACCCGATGCTTTAAGATTAACCTCACTTACTAACCTGAACTCCGCAGTCGTTTGATTCGGTCAGAATTTGTCTCTTTTTTGTTTGCCTTGTTCAAAATTTAACCAGATGACTAGGAATAAGTCATCATTGGTCTGGGCATCGAAACGGGTTTTATCCGAACCACTTTTGGAAGTGACAAACTCAAATCTGCATCACTGGTGAAAGGAGTGCATACACCTGTGGGAGAAATATACTTGATAGATCCTTCTGGTCCTCAGAGTAGCACTTCACTACCGATCACGTTACGAGTTCACAACCCATTCCTCTAGGGAGTTCGAAGTTTAGACGAAGTCAAGTTTTGACAGGGCCTTGCATCGCACAACTGGAATAAACCCCCGGAGCCCTGGTGGATCGTTCCACTTAAACTACTTCACTGCGAATGTATCATTAGTGATGACTTCACCCCAATAATCTATTAGTAGTGTCTAGTCTGTCTCAGTATCGTGGAAACCTCTTCAAACATGCAGATGCAGTCTTCACTCCACCGGTTTAAGTTCTTTCAACTCATAGACAACTCCATTTTCCCGTAAATGTTATCATTATTTATGCAAACATTGAAGTCCTTATTTGAAGTAGATTGTACGCTTTCCGTCGCCACATCCATTTTATCAAATTTTTGCAGATTTAGGTTCTAAACAGCGCAGAAAGACAAAAATTCTGTGGTTTTGTTTGCACTACAGAACTGCGTATATTCACACTTTTATGGAGCGGTCGTAAAAACTGTAGATGCTAACACCTCACTCGCTTCCCATTCATCTACCTAAATCTTGATAATATCATACTACAACACGAATTTACAATCTAACCTACGTCACGAATCGTCTTACGCGCCTTTTCTTCACACGTTGTCAGACAACCAAAACAGGACGTTATTACGTCACCTTTATATCAGCCGAGTCAGACCATATTTTCATTGGGCCTAGTAAGAGTAATGTGTGTGTGAAAACTGATCAATTAGTTTGCCCATTTGTCAGCGCGCATTCACAGACCTTTACTGAAGTCAAAGCACGACTGTTATGGTAGTTGTAGCAGAATTCACGAACATCCTATCATGTTTAGATCTTGTGGACTCCACGATGAACTGACGCATTCAGTGAATAGGGATATAAATGTAACTACGACAGGGAGACTACGCAAGGTCACAAAACTAAGGGTAATGTTATAACAACCGACGATACAAAAACATGTAGTGCATTCTTAATTTATCATGTCATGACAGAATAACAATCAGGCACTTTCCTATGTTTTCCAACCTTAGCTAACATAAAAAGAATGTGAATAGGACAAGAAGTAAAATCTGATTTGAAGATTATCACCAGACTTCAAACTTACATTCAGTTGGCTGATTTGGAAGCTCCGTCTATGCGATAAAAATTTTCAATGAAAAAAGGTCAGTTTGTGCGAAAACTGGAGTAAGTAACTTACGACAAAAATAGTGCAACGACACCTCCAACAGTAGTTTAATACAAATCATTTTTCAAGCACAAGCTGATTTATCTGAAAAAGTCTGCAGTAGCTTCGGTAATAATGGCCAGAAGCTATCAGTGGTTAGTCCGTAAGTTTCACAATGAACGCAATCCAACTATGAGTTACACCATTTGCATTTCTTCAATTTATGTAATATTTTATTTGTCTCGCATAAAATTTCTGGAAGAAGAGTAGCACTCAACTTGGAAAAGTGTTCTTTGCCAGAAATTTCATGTAGGCAAACGCGCAAACAAACGATGCGCTCCAAGTGCGAGAAGATCCTACTGCTGACAAGCCGCTCGTGGTCGGACTACTAACCGGGGCGCTGCAGGTACGAATCTTCCTGGAGCTCCGTGGGATGCTCAATGCCACTATCTTCGACGACAATAGAACAGCGGTTTTTCTTTTTGGCACAGAATGACTTCAGATCGAAAACTCGGCTGCAAATCGTCTCATCCTATTGACAATGGACGAATCGTCGAAGCTAAAGTTCCTTTTTTCTTATGCGCATGTAAAAAATTATTTATGCAGTTTATTTAGCACTAAATAGCATGTTCAACCGTAACATTCAGCCGAGTTTTTGTTATCAGTAGTACATTCAGTTGAGCGTTGTTAAATAGAACGAAAGCAGTACCGGCAAATGCTGTACAGCAGGTCGGTACTGCTCCTAGAAATAGCGCAACTCACGGAGCTCATTTATAAAGCTGTAAACAAGTTCTAACAAATTCTACTTAGAAACTGGGCTATTCCTTGCAGTTCACGTTCAAATGGAATGGGCCGTATGGTCTAAGGTGGCGATTCTCTCGGCCAAAGTATTACCCAAAAAATTTATGATGTTTGTCCCGTACAATTATACTGTTATTATTACTATGAAATTGCACAAAATTTTTTTCAAAACTGGATTTTACTTTCATGTCACGACTTCACTTTGCTGCCTTAAGTTCCACGCAAGATCCACCGAATTGAAAAAGTGTGACCTCTGGTTCCTGCTCGAATGAACAAGTTTACGGTAAAGAATGAGTGCGGACACTTTCAAGCTGCATCGCATCATTTAAAAGGACTGAGTAAATTTAGAACCATGATTGGATCACTAAGAAAAAGCGGGTCGTGGTCATGCAGAACTAGCCGTGTATTGCTGCTACTCTAGACAGCGTTGCTCACTGGAAGCCAAGTTACACGTTACCCTTTACAACGGCTGCCCTTCGTTTTTACAGAAAAAATTCTACCACTTATCTGTAACCCTCGGTGAGCAATGAGATATTGACTTTTTCCCAGTGGGGCTCTCTGCTCGACTAGCCTAACTAGATGGTCATCCTGCTGTCAATCAACCGCCAGATAGGAAATCGAGTCCTTGGAATTTATCGTATTAGCACAACCTAGATATGATGAACCATGGGTGACACAAGACGGCATCACGATCCTCTCATGAGGAAAATCAATGTAAGTGCAATTTTTCAGTCGAATTCGAAGGTCTATAAGACGTTGAAAGAGTTGGTCTATAGAAAATAGGTTTCCGTCATTTAGCCCTCATCACTCCGTGGTGAAAATCTGTTACGTCTGTTATTCTTCGTTCAGATCCTTCATCACACTCTTTGTGCTTAAGGGGCTGTCGCGCTGCTGAAGATCGTCAGCGGTTTCCGGTTTTTATCTCAGAGAATACAATTGGCAAGGAATGCTTTGTCTGACTTCTACCTGAAGGCCACTCTCTGCTGAGTTCCAAAGTAAGATTGCACTAAAATCCTACTCCCTGTGGTTTCAGTTCAGGTTCGGTTGTACTGCATACCGGCCTGTGAGGGTGGTGACGTAGTCGAAACCTATTGAACAACTATACAGTTTGTTCATCGTTGGAGTGCCTTCAGCAAGAGGCAGAAATTCCGCAGAGCAGATATAAATCACCAACTTTGGCTAGGACTTACCTCATGCGGAACAGCCATTGTGGATGCTGTCAGAAGAAACATGGTGCATGCGGCCAGCTTCATTTTTAGATGATTGATAGTGAGAGTCGTGCGGCATCAGCGGAGTCGTATATAAATCGCTTAATGTACAAAGTCTAAATCCGTTTGTCAATACAACATTGAGATGATCCAGTGTTTGCGTTCGGATGATCTCAGTTGGGACTCATATGTTTGCTTGTTCAGTAAGCTTTTGTTTACTCAATGACCTGGAGCAGATACTGTTTTACCTGAAGTGTGGCGTATTGGTAAACCACTGAGCAGTACAAACGAAGTAGTTCAAGTCTGGCTGCTACTACGTTTTTTAATTAACGGTTTCAGGTGTCATGGTGTCATCCAACTGAGGTGAGTCCGTGTATTTTGAATTGATCCACTTTCGGCTGTTACGTGCCAGAATGCCAACAGAGTTGGTCGTTAAGTGAAACAACAACGTGTCAAAATATCCGGGCGTATGTTTTAAGGTCTATCTCCATATGATTTCCATTTAGTAAAAGGCTTTACTCCCAAATGATATCACTTAAAAATAAAAGCTGTGAGACGTTAGCGGTTTGGTATGACACCACACCAGAACCCATTGGGTACGCGCTGCTGATGAGCTCTAATAAGAGCGAAACTCGAGTCCAGTGCTTCCGCCCTCCCTTTGGTGTAGACTCACCAGAATGATTGCGCCTGGACGGGAAGACGATTGTTCAAACGAGGGTCGTGTGGGTCTGAATTCTACAAAACCTTGAAACTATCAACACCTGAAACAGAAGACCTGTTTCTGAGAAAGCGTGATGTTAAAACCACATTCAGACAGCTGAATTCCCCCCAGTAGTTCCTCTTTTGAGAGAAGGAATATTGTGCTGACACCTGCTTCCGTATTCGTGTTATCAAGTGTATGAATTGTATAATTGCACAAATTTACGTGTTCTAAGCACTAAATGTTCCTGGATAGATTCCGTGTTTTTTTGTTTTCGGACAGTTCGGACTGTCAACTCAGACCAAGCATTCATGCCGTTTTCTGGAGAATCCTTTCTACGCGTAGTAAAACAGCCAAACATCGTGCTATTTAAATGACTTTTTAATTATTTTCGAACACAATGTAGGTCATTTCTCGTAAATTTTCCTCTACTTTGGTATTTAAACAACGGCCGAATTTTTTACTCTTAAAGTTAAGAAAATTTTGGATGCGAAAACTAGCCTCTTGGTAAGAGAATACGGTAGCAGCAAACCATTGCACGTCTAAGATTAAGAAAGTTCTCCTCTATGAGGGGTTACTCCTTCTCTAGAGGGTAGAATAAATAGGCTTTCAACCAGTAGTAAGAAGGACAATGTTTATTTTGATGGTAAACAAGCCACTATTCAAAGGTCTCGGTTTTATGTCAGCCGGCGGAGTTTGTCGCAACCTCTACCCACCTGTGGGTGCAGGTGTCCGTGACTAGGGTGCACATGTCCCCAGCTAGAAGAGGCCTTAGGTCGTGCGACTTACTGCGGTGCTGTGGCGGTAACGTAAGTCGAAAGGCTTCCCTCACAAGCATATTAGTAACATAATCACTTCTCTCACTCGAGTGTGAGACCTTTCAGTGGAGTGAAAGACTCAAAGACAGACTGTCGAAAGTGAATTTATTGGAGTGAAACTCAGAGGAAAACCGGCCTCGCCGAAATAGGCTTGAGTGTGATAAAAATCATTGAGAGCGTGAGACGCAAACTCAGTCAAAATGTCAAAACAAACGGACTGTGAAGGTTATCCGAGGAAGTCATCTGTGACAGATCGCAAATGGTCAGTAGCCTGGACAGTTAAGGGAACGTCACTGAGTGGAACGACAGCATAAGCTGACTGGGGAGGACATTTCCTTGAATAGTTGTCCAATAACATCATCTAGTATGCCTTCATTGCAGATAAACTCATGTTCGTCCGCAACAGCACGGCAGACAGTGACTTGGTTGTTGGTCATTTCGGAGTCACTAACGACGTCACCTCGATTGGTGATGAAAACTTTGCAATACAGCTGCCAAGTTCGGCGAACAGACCAACAATCAAGCAGTGCACCGAGCCACCTATTTTCCACAGCAATGCCAGACAGTGATTTGTTGTCAATGTTTTGACTCAACTCAAAGTCGCGTGCGTGGTCCACAGACCACCCAGCCGCATTACAAATGATTTGCTAAAAATCAGAGAATCATAAAATTGTTGGACTAATTGTGGTTCACGCTCCATTTCTTAGTATTTTGAGTTGGACTTATCGATATGACAAACTAGATGGCCCTTAACTCTTTTGATTTTACAAAACAAATTCAAGGGAAAATGAGGGGAAATGGTTCAGGAATGGAGTTTCTTTGTAACGGATTTTTCGCAATATCTTTATGAAAATGCTTACGGTGTGAGAATTGGTTTTCCCAAGGTTATCCTCTGATAAAGTCCTTTTCGCACTGATCACCTTTGCATGAGTTATCAGAAAAGGGGCTTCTAACAGAGTGACGGAGGAGGTTTACAGAGTATCCAATTGTACGATAATTTTAGTGCAAAGATGGCCACAATTGGCTTGGTAACATGTTGTATCACCTTGTGCGGAAACCGTGGTTAGGTTTAAGAGAAAGTGCAGCAGAACATCTCGGTGTGCTCTACTGACGCCTACGTAGTTATCATTTGTCTAACCCGAAATGGCTTCAACAGGCGTTTGGTGAATAAGTTTGACTGAGCACAGACCCTCTACGAGCTCAAATCCTCGTGCGAACGTGTCACTCACCTTTATTTGCATACCGGTAGTTGAGTGATGGGAGTGCCTTCTTTGGTAAAACGTATAGGCACATGGACTGCTTCGGTAGAGTAGATCAATGTCGGTGCAGATAAAACCTGAAGTCAGCATGTGTCACACGTTAGTTTGAGAAATATCGGTACGAAGTGGTGAGGTGAACTGCACAAGGGCAAGGTTGAATTTCATGTTTACTCTAGACGATTCGGTAAGTGAACAACTAATTCAAATTCTGTATGTACTGATACTCAAATATGAAACCTGTGAATTGAATGTGCCTAATAACGAGATTTCGTAAAATTCTGCCTTGTTCAATTTGACAATTAAACGAAATATTGGGGGTTTATCCAGTACATTCAAATGAATTGTCTTTATCAAACAGCTATTCTTTGTGACATTCTTACTTTCCGACTAAGAGAGATGGAGCTTTATTTTACCTTTCGGGTATGAAATAGGAGGATGGCATTTCCCTGAATGGGTAAATAAGCCGGCCTAGTCGAAGATGCTGTGTCTTGTGGGAGTGATAAACATGTTTTCACCAGTGACTCTCGGGGTTTCGTCAATGAAGAATTTATCCACCGCCTTTATTGACCCATTCGTCGCCATATTCGTCATTAACTTCTATCAGCTTTGTCCCCATAGATCTTGAAGAATTCTTCGTTGGCCGAAGGATCCATTAGCATTTAGGAGGAGCAAAGCACCCGCCTGCCGACTCAGCCTAAAGCACTGGGTGCAATGAACTAAATGAATTTACCGAATACATTTACAAATTGTTAACTATTCAGTTTGATTTTCTCTCAGCTCGTCAGATGAAAGTGTATTCGTTGTTGTAGATGATTGTATTTACTTACTACTTGAGTAAGTTAAGGCACGCAATAAGCCCCACACTAAACTAGTTTCACTAGGCTAAAGTGATGCACTGCTGTTTTGCCGTTATCTCCTGTAGTGTCTTCTGGTCGTCTGCCATTTCTACTTTGCATCTCCTTGAAGGACAATAAACACAACGATGTCGATGGTAACTTTTGAGGTTTTTTTAGGAATTGCCTCTCCGTGTAGTCTACTTGGTACTACTTGCAATCATGAGAAAGTTTTGGTCTGAGCCTAGTGAGACGATTTGCTGATTTTTTCCACCGTGAAGAGGTTTGTGTGATCAGATATTTAGTGCACTTCGAATGTGGCTGCAATCACAACTGGTGGTAAACCTGTACACCAAAATCAATACAGCATCACAGGTGCTACTACTGTGTGGCCATAAAATTAGAATAAAACAGTGATATCAAACGCAACGCCCCCTTTTCTACTATACCCTGCAATCACAACTGGTGGTAAACCTGTATACCAAAATCAATACAGCATCACAGGTGCCACTACTGTGTGGCCATAAAATTAGGATAAAACAGTGATATCAAACACAACGCCCCCTTTTCTACTATACGCGGTATCACTGAAATGGCCGCAATGGCGTAAAAACAACCACTCAAAACTATCGTCATCGTGTTGCTGAGGAAACTAGCGTTTTTGCTTTCAGCAGCAGAGAAACATACGCACCTCTCCGTGTAGAAATAGACATACTCCTTGCCTTAGACCGTGAAACTAATACTTTTAAACACAGTATGCGGATGCAGACAACAAATTGTCTGTCGGTTAATGCCGAAGTTCCATAGTTCTCAACACACTGACGAATTGTACACAGTAATGCGTGGAGCAGGCCGTAAATCATTACCCGTGAAAAACGTAACATCCGCCATTTTGGCACAAACGAGCGAGATTTAAAAAGATTCGCGGGACTCCTCCCAGTAGCTGAATGAACAACATTCATTTATTGAAGTAGAAAAGTATCAATCCCACGGTCCAATTCCACAAACTTAGGAGGGAATGAAGTAATGGGAGATTTTAGTGTTCGGACAAAATTCTCAGCAAGTCCATTCGATTGGGGATATCCTAGAGCATCCAAGGCTTTTTAGCCACTCCTCGAGGGATTTTGCAATGAAGCCTATGGCGTTGTCAGTGACCAAAGCAGTTGGTACATCTTCATGGCCAAGTTAATTCCTCGGTGCTTGTTGTGTGGATTCAGCACTTGGGGAAATAGTTTAAAGAATTTAGGTTAGACCCGAATATGTCCCAACAACAATCAAAACGTGTTATCAACTGAGAAAAGGACCGCAGTAGTCAGCATGAACTCGTTGAAATGCTTCACGAGTAACTGGACATGGATTCGTTATGAATATTGTGTGTACATTTAACACAATTTTTGGCAGTATACTTGATATCAGCATCTAGTTTCGGCTACCAGCTTGACAAGCGTGCAAGATATTTCATTTTATAAACACCCAGATGGCCAGGGTGTAAATCTGCAAGAACAGCCGCTCAATGAATCGATGAAATGATACCTCCATCCTCAAAACACAACAAACCGTCTGGAGTAATGAACGAAATTTCGCGGCGGCAGTACAATGCAGGAATTCGACGTTGATCTTGCTGTTTCCAGACACGTTGCAGTGCAGAAAAATAAGAGCAAAATACCTTTTGGTATCAGCAAAACGCTCATCCCCCTTGACTGGTAATGGGTGAACAAATAAGCAATCTGAATTGTTTGAATTGGAGCCGCATAATCGAATTCTGGATAAGAAATCAGTATGGGGAATCATCTTTGTACTAGGATGAACAATCGTCTGGGTATACTAAGTCAGTGCAGTAATCCACCGTTTCACCATAGCGGCAGATGACCTCGCTAGGGACTTTGTAGGATGACACAAGAACTTTAAGGCCTAGTGATCCGTAGCAGTAGTGAAGTCTGATACCAAAAAAATACTTATGTAACCGTTTGACAGCCCAGTTGAACGTAAGCGCTTCCCGTTGAGTTTTCGAATACCCACGTTTGGCTTTTGGGAGTCGACGGGAAATGCAAATGAACGGTCCGCCACACTGTTGAACGATTGCTTCTGTTCCATCGGGCGAAACATCAGCAGTGAAGGTCGAATGGTTTTTGGTGGAAAATGGTTTCAAAACTGCTGCATTTTAAAAGTGGCCAGGCAACGCACGGGTGAAGTAGCAAGAAAACTGATTGACAGATATGACAACAAACAAGCAGCTTGCATGTTTAGCCAAACTAGGAACAAAACGAGAATAATACTGAAGTGCTCCTAGAACAGAACGCAGTTCTTGTAGATTAGTTGATGATGGTACATTCACTAAAGGAGACAAATGGTTTGTATCGGCTTTAAAACCACAATGTAGTCAAGACATGAAAGTGATGTAACTGCAAATGTGGATTTACTGGGATGAATGGCCACAGTGAACTCAGAAAATCGCTTTATTCAAGACAATAGACACATATAATGGGTAGGTTTATCAGCAGCACTATGACATCATCTTGGTAAGTCTCAACACCCTCCAAATCTTTTTACTAGTATTCATGATTTTCTCAAATACGGTTGGTTAAACATTCAGGCCAAAGGGAAAGAAATTGTATCGGAATAATTTAAAAGGTGTGTTGATCTCAGAAAGATTACTGGAGGCTGCGTCTAGTGGTAATTAAAGACGGGTATCTTTTAGATAAACTTTTGAACTTTTGATTAACGATACAATACATCTTCATGCTCTTCTGTAGTGCATGTGCGTTAGAGTAACAGTGTGTTTAACATTGGCCTGTAGTCTCCATAAATTCTCGGAGTAATACCATCAGCCTGTAGTGGGTTAACTATCGGAGGTGTTCAATTTGATTATTCGACAGAGGTCAGTATTCCTTTCTCACACACTGAATTTAATGCTTGGCAAACAGATTCACGTAAGTCAAATAGAATAGTTTGTCTATTGAGAAATATAGGATACCCTGTAGCTTCCAGTTTCACCTTGGCTGTTCACGTGCTACGTGTATTCTTAGAACATTTAAGAATCAGTTGTTTGAGTTCACTCGCCTTTACAGAGGTCAGGTTGGATATCAAAATGTTGCACTGAGTCCGATAATAGATGGTACAGAGGTTGACATGATGTTTTGGGCAATCTCACAGGAATCGTACAAATACTAACTAAAGGTACATACTGTCCGGTGATACCGCCGATATCAACTTCTGTAGGCATTATCACAACACTGAGGTAAAACGCAGTCACGTTTGACTGTGAAATAATGGACTCAACACTACCAGTGAAAGGAAGAAGTCCCTTTGCCGCGGGGTTGCTCATTGGGAAACACCAACTAAAAACTCACAGACTATGAGACAGGAAAGTAAAACTCTCATATGCGCCTTGTTTTTAGAAAGCCGAATATCGGTCTTCTTCTTGAAAGCGTCTAATTAAACTTTCTTGGATGTTCATTGACTATCACGCAACGAATGCTGCAGAGTAGTTCCACAAATTCCGTAATAAATAATATCTTCCATTGAATCTGAGCGGAGTTATGAACAAACCGCTTATTACTCGCATGGCCCATCAGTAGCGCCTGCCGTTACACCAGTGTCAACAGTAAAATCATGGTTTTGCTCAGATGCGGATATAAAAATTTTAAAAACGTTTGTCGAATTTTAGGGCAAATTAGGCAGAGAAAGAGTACAGATATTTTCAGTTGATGCTCCAAAATTTTTGAACTTCTGAACTGGGATTGCGACCTTTGAAGTGATGTATTAATGGATTTGGAGCACAAATTTTTTTCCGGGGTTTGAATGTATTGTCCGTCTGCATTCTTGATTTATTTCTTTTAGAGTAATTAAACAACATAGCTTCATCAGTCTTCGTTACATGCTTTACATCTTCATACTGCTCACATATCTTCAAAATAGTTAGAAATGGTTGATCTGGATAGAGCAACAGCTTCTGTTGTGATTTGGGCAATTAAGCATTAGCAATGAGTCTAGTACACCGTCGGCATTCTAGGTGGACACCCAAGTCACATTTGGCTGCCTGTGTCTGCAACTGTGATACAAAATCACGAACCGGTTGAGAATGGGAGCGCACCGACATACTGAACCTAGCTCTTTTGGCTGCCACAAAGTCAATCGATTTGGGGTGCTGCAGACCGCTTTTGTTCAATGCATTATAAGAAATATTGTTTGGAAATTCAAGATACACTAGATTGTTATTAACAAAATGTAGAAAACACGCCGTGAGTTTCTTAACAATCATATTGAATTTTCTAACATACTATATGTCAAACCGTTTCAAATAATCTACGTCTCACGCGGTTCAATTAAAATTTAATGGTTTCATTTTGGTAGGCATAAAGAGTTGTTCCAATAGAGACGCCGTATACCGGTATAACCAAAAGAACTACAAAATCAGAAGTTAGCATGGGGTAACAATTAGCACACATGTATTCAAGCGGACACATAAATAGCACCTAGAGTATTAAAACAAGAGAATAATACGCTTGGCCTAATGAATGGAGCAGCAATCACGTTCATGAAAAGAAACTACTGAGAAGGTCGAAAAATGATGGACTGCGCAAAACAGGACCATGAGTTCCGCGTGTTAGTCAATAATTTAGTTTTCGACTAGTGCCCAACGATATTATACACGGATTTCGCGATTTATCTCCGTGTATCTTTTTATGTCGAGAACCCCACCAGACTAAAGCACGTGAATTCTATATCAAAATTCTAACCTGAGAAGCTCGGAAATTTTGAACCTTGCGCTTTCTGCCAAAGGTGAAACTTGATTACCGAAAAGTATCATTTTCTAAACTCCAAACATGCTCTACTAATGAGAACATTCCGTCTCAAAATGCTTCTCGTTTTTAAATAAAAGTTTAACCATCATGCCACTCACCGCGTTGTTCCTGGGTAGATTGTAGTCGTAATTTTGGGACAAAGGGCACATTTCATCTTTTTTCTAGTGTTCACAATTTGGGGGAATGTAGATATAAACACTAAGCTTAGCAGGAGACATTGGTTTTAGTTCATCATGTCAAAGTTCGAACCCCTGGTTTCCCTAATCTGTGTTATTTTGTCATTACCGCCTAGTAAGTAGATAATTTAGCCCGATATCATGTGTTCTATCAAAGATAGCACCTTTCTGTCCAAATCATAAAGTGTGCCATTGGACGGAATATTTCCTCTGGTGGAAACAACGGTTTCCAAATCCCATCAGACCAATTGAAGCACACGTGAGTGCGTGCGTGTTACTTGGCAGGAATTATCAATAAATCTACTTACCTTAAAAGACCAGATATCATATCCTGTCGCCCGATTAGGACCAAAAATATCCAGAATTTGGACGGTCATCTAAAAGAAGTGCTCCGAGAGTTTAGTTCATGTTCGTCATCATCATCATCATCATCATCATCATCATCATCATCATCATCATCATCATCATCATCATCATCATCATCATCATCATCATCATCATCATCATCATCATCCTTGTCAGCTGTAAGAACCGCGTACTTGTAGTAAAGTGGCTGTGGCTGCCAAACTATCGTCCATCAGTGATTTGGGGCGGTAGGGTAGGTGGTTGTGCATTGGAGGCGGCAGAGTAAATAAAGGTCTTTCGGTCGACTTCTAAGTGGTGGGATTGGGAAAGGAGCTATGCATTGAAGGCAATGGCTTGAATGCACGAGCATCACTGAGGGCGCAAATAGGCCACGCCTGACAATGTCTCCAACCATCTACATGGTCATTCTTGGAGTACCCATCCAAGGAAATGGCAATGACCAGCGCAGCTGGTAATGGATTTCACAATTCGCAAGTGTAGAACATATTGAATTACAATTGCGGCCGTTAAGTATATTCAAATGCATCTTTCAGCTAATTACTGTTCTCACTTGGTAACATATTCTTTGCCCATAACTGTACCCTCAAACGGGATCACACGTCAACAAGGACAACT